GTGCACCACTTTCAAGAACCTAGAGAATCAGTAGTCAGATCCATAACTTCAATGTTAGAGTAAAATGAGAGATCAATGGTACCAATGTTATAATGAAACGACAGGTCTAATTTACTTGAAATAGGGATAGCGATAGTTAATAAATTAATTGGTTAATATCATACAGTTTCTCCAGTCTCAGGATCTTTGGCAACATAGGCAGTCAATCCAACAGCAGAACTTCCTCGCCCACTAGTGTAAATGCCACGAGGTGAAAGCTTGTGAATGTATTGCAGCAGCTGGGATTTACTTGTCCCGGGATCACCAACAAGGAGAACATTAATATCTCCTCTAAAGCTTGCACCAGATGCCAATTTCAATGCATTGCCACCAAAAAGCTATATACATAATGTTGACATCATCAGTAGGTCTATATAACTGATATTGTCACTTAAAAGGTGCTTTAACATATTAATAATAAAAGGTAAACTGGTCAGGTATGCATTACTTGGCAAAGAAGGCCTTTCTTGACATCATCCAACTCCCATATATTTGGGGCTAAGGATCTGGTTAACCTTTCATATATATCCGGTTGCTTGGACAATTCCTTTAGCTGCTCGATCTGATGTCAAGGCATGCATTATAAGCAAAAGCATATGTATCATTGTTGTCCACTACTCACTAGTAAGGAAGGGAATTAACAAGTCACCTTGTTTGCAGAGTCAATAAAAGGTTCATCCTTATTCCTATTAAAGCCATTCTCAATTTCCATTGGATCCTCTACATTCATTCTTGACTTATCAGTCTTCTTCAAATGAAGACAGTCAATGTAAGTCTGGAAGAAATAAACAGTTGTTTCAGAATACAAACATATACTTCTTTCATCAAAGTTCACAACAAGAAGCAAAGTTGTGGCTCCAACACACACAAAAATTAGACAGCTGAAAGAAGTAGCTAAGCTTGCCTTGAAAAGTGATTTGACAGTCCTTTGTGTAGACCCAATTCTAACACTCATTGCACGGTAAATGCCAGTGACCTAATAGTAAGAGCGGAAGCATAGTATATCACAAACGAATACAAGGGAAAAGCAATATTGACTCACACTTCCGGGAAGAAAATGTTTGATAGAATTGAAACCTACCTCAACTCTGTCACCGGGTTTCCCGGCATCCACTAGCTTGTCATGCATCAGTAAGCTCACTGTGTGTGGTGTTCCACCGTCCGGAATATCATCAGGTGTTTCTTGAAGTCTCACTATTTGCTTATCTATAAACCTGGAATGAGTCCAAGTACCCAAGCAAGTCAAAACTGCTTAAATACATTTCATAACCCCACCCGAAAGGCCCAAGGACCCAGTATAGAGATTTATCAAAACAATAACATAATCAAAAGGATAATTAGTACATTCATTACCTGCACCGGTTGTGAACTAGAGTCATAGAGTTTCTGGCTTGGCATTCTTGCTTCTCACAACGTGTAGGGTCACTAATTCTCCCTTTAAAAAAAAAGATTGAAGTTTGTATGAGAAGCTGAAACCTAACCAACTGACATAGACATATCAAGTATGTAGTGTACTAGTGTAACAACACTTACCTCTATCAACAACAATAGGGTCAGAGTAATAACCACAGACAAGGCACCTAAATATTGCTTCCCGGATCTCAGGTATAATAGAACTACATCTTATTATCATTCCTTTAATAGAGACCAACTTCTCAATGTCTGGGAAGAAGAAAGTGGGAATCTTAAGCTTTTTAAGAACACATCTAAAACACAAGGAGATATAACATTCATAAGAGAGAGGGGGGAGGGTGCTAAAGTAAAAGTGTAGCAGGGGATGTGACTAACCAGTTGGATTGAGATTTCTCATGGAAATAGACGCTTTAAGATTAAAAATTCGTGCTTGTACGAGCTTTTCGAATAAAGGGTTTATTCTGCTTACCATATCCATCAAAACAATGTCAAATATGGCCAAGACCTCTAGTGGGTATCTGACCATTTTGTTGTACAAATCACTGTCATAGGCGAACACATCATGTGCATCCACTTCAAGTGAATCACCTTCCATCTCGATCACATGGTGAATAGAAATCATGTATTTCCCTTCAACCTGAGAAGAATCTTCACGGAAATGCCTTAGAAACCTTAGAATTGCAGCATTCACATCTTGAACGACGATATTTGTGCCCCACACATACGTCGGTGGGGCCTCCTCGCCGCCATCACCTTCAATGCCATCTGAGGATGCTGAAGGCGCTGGAGAAGCATCGCTTCCGCCCCTTCTACCGCCCAATGAAGAAGGTGTGGCTGCAGCAGCGGCAGAAGTGGACCTCCTTCCACCCCGTCCTCGAGGAACTCTGCTGGACGAATTAGGCGTGGCATCCGGTGAGGTAAACCGAGGGTTAGCAGAGGCGGGTGGCGTGGCGGTGGAGGAAGAGTGGCGCTCTCGCTTCCTGCGACTGGTATCAGCTGGAGATGAGAATGTATTTCCAATTGGGCTCGATTGCGACTCATAAGGTGAGGTCGGATCTGTAGTTTACATTCACCATTTCGTAATTTAGGGTAAATACTGAACTAATCAGATTTGTGAAGGCATTTATGATATTGAAAATAGTTTTAAGTGAAATAATGCAAAAACGGGAAGACCTTACCGACGTGAGTGTTAGCCGGAGATGAATCGGAAGCCATGACCGGAGCTCAGCTATTCTCTTTGGTCAGCCAGCGAGGGGGAGTGTGTGTCAATGGCCGGCAAACTCTGGGGACGCCGCTAGTGGGGTTAGCACTTAGAAGTTAGAACTCATTTGGCGGGAATACACTGATAAATTGGGCGCCAGACTAAGGGTGCAGGAGTTCAAGTAGGGTTCATGTCATGCCAGTTACTCTTTTTTCTTTGTGGGATGCGACAAGGTTTCACATTTTTATTTCATAAAATAATTAACACCATTCAATTACAATTTAATCACAAAATATTAAAGATAATACCCCTCCATATTCTTTTGTTCACTACATACACATTATTTAAGGAGTAAAATAGTAGTGGTGATGAATAGTGTAGAAAAAGTATGAGAGAGTTTGTAAAAATATGAAAGAGAAAATCGTAGTTGGGTATTTTATTAAAGGTTAACTTACCAAAAATAGAATTGTAGCAAACTTTTAAACACATCTCGAAAAGGAAAGTGTAGCAAATAAAAAAAAGGGAAAATTTCACAAATGGGCTCAAACGGTAAAGTAATATCACTTTTGTTCCTATTTAAATTTTCTTTCAAACGTATACTAGTTGACTTTTTCTTTTCAAAAATAGACCTCTCGTCCCATGTATATATAAAACATTAAAACTCATCCCTGGGAATCTGGGATCAATAATTTGAAGAAGCCAGGTCAACATCCCAGCCGTTTTAGTGCTCTATACCTTCTTTGATACGGAGTAAAATAATACGGCAGCTAAGCCAAGCTCCACAATTTACTTAATTTAAGTTTTTATATTTTTTAATATAAATGTACAAAAATGTAAAACAAATTAAAAGAAAAATAAAAGAAAATATAAAATTAAAATATACTAGTAATAAATATCAGAAGGAAAAACAGAAAATGCAAAATAATAAATACAAATTCTAAAATAGAAAAATGTATTTAAATTTTGGAAATTAATCATAAAAATGTAAAAACTAAAAATACGTATTGGAACCTTATACATACAGGACTCAAAAAGAAATATGAATCACAATTGGATTTGTAAGAAATAAGATTTGTTATAATATAATTTTTCAAGGAGTTAGTATACCCCATAATTTATACAAAAATATAGAAAACATTTAAGAAAATAATATAATTTTTTGGGTGTGAAATTAATACAAAACGAAAAGAAAATGTATAAAATATATAAATATAAATGGTAAAAAATTCAAAGTTTTCTCACAAAATAAAAAAAGTAAATTTTATAAACAAAATATTTTAAGAAAAAATAAATACATAATAAAATATATAAATTGAAGAAAAATATAAAATAAAGGAAAAAATACAAAACAAACCTATAAATTTTCAGAAATATACAACAAATTTAAAGAGTTTAAGCGAATGTTGAAATAAATATATATTTTCTAAAACAAAATGTGAAAATTTAGATAAAAGAAATACTAAAAATTTTAAAACCTGAAAAAAAATTAAATAATATGAATTGTGTGATTTGAAAACTTTCTAAAAGGCTCTCAAGTAAATCTGTGAGATTTTATTAAATTAAAAAAATCAAAGTAAAGTTTTAACAAAATATTAGAATAAAAACAGTAAATTAAAGACAAGTAACAAGTGTATAAATGTTAAAAAATTAAAATAGAAATGTGAAGAAATACAATAAAAAGGTGAAAAAATGCAATAACGAAAATGAACTTATAATTGAAAAACTTATAATTATGAAATACTCATACATTTTAGTTATTATTATTATCTTACTTTTGTTGCATATTGTTTTTTTGTGTTTCTTTTTGTTAATAATTTTTGTTTTGTTTCTTCATGTTTCTTTTTGTTTATTCATAAATCCAGATTTATCTTTTTAGGTATTTGTACAGAGAAATGTATATCTATGATTTTTATTCCAAATAAGTAAGGAATATAAATATAAATCTAAATAGACAAAAAATCAAAATCAATAATCAACAATAAAAACAACAAGCAACACGATTTAACAAAAAATAATGCATTGCAACAAAAAGCAACCTAATGCAACAAAAAGCAACATGTGCAGTGCAACAAAGAGCAACAAAATACAGAGCACTTGGGCAATCATATGCTGTATAATCTATGCACCTTCTGTATGAAACTCCATCCTGCTCATGGTTAACAAAACCTCAATTTTTGACTGCCTTGTCAAAAATATATGATTTAGGTATTTTTATATATACCTATATATGATTTTTTATTACTAATCCCTAACAAATATAATATAATTGCAAATAGAAAACAAAAATGAAAATCAATAATAAAGAACCATAAGCAATATGATACAACAAAATGCAACATGATTCAACAAAATGCAACACAATGCAACAAAAAAGAAACACATTTGATGAAACAAAGAGCAACATAAACAACATATAGAAATTTCACAAAATATATACAACTCAAGTACTCAACTATTATTACAACCCACATTACAATTTACAATTGTAGTTCTGGAAGCTAAATAGCAAACAAGTTTGCTAATGAAACCTTGACATTTTTATATGTAACCATGTTTCAACCATCTCCCCAATGGCCAAATTGGAATCACATTCCAGTTTATTAGTGGAGAAGTTCATGACACAAAAGAGATTGTTTGAGAAACATCAAGCCACCCTCATTATTTGTTTTAACAAAAGCTTCAAAAATCCCCCATTTCAAGTGTAGATTTTCACGATCTTAGCTTACTTCAATGACCATATAATCAGCCATTCGTCTAGGGACCCACTGCCTGACCACTCACTGTTTGGCCTAAATGCCACCGAATAAATCGGATCCCTTTGGCCATTTAAGCTATGGATAACACGCCCTAATTCAACACCTATAGCTTTATGGTTGAGTCAAAAGAGGCACTTGTCAGCATCAACTGCTTGTTAGGATTGTTTGTACCTGATGGACTCGGTCTAATTGTGTATATGTCGTTATTATGTTCTTCCAAATCCTGCACACATGTGTCCTGCTCCAAGCTCCATATCTTAGTTGTGGAATCATCATATCTGAACTTGAAGCCAACAAAGAACCAGATGGGTCTCATTTGATAGATGCTGCTAACCCTTCAAAATTTCAATTAAAACTAAATGAACAATGCAACACTAAGCATTAAGACTATTCATAATTATTAAGTTTTGAATGGATTGGAACCTTTGTAAAAAAACCAAAAACAAATAAGATAGCATTAAGATCCACCAAAGCAAGTCTAATAGTTAGTTAGAGCTTTGAGTCAATTATTTTTTTTAATTCCTAAAACATACAGGAATTCCTAGTATTCCATGAAGCTATATTTCTATTTATTCTTTCACTTTTGCTCCTGATTAACTACAACAGGTTCATAGGCAATGTGCTATTTGATTTTTTTGCAAAATGAGTTGATATTGCAAATTCAATAACCACATAATAGAGTTGTCATTGATATAATGTATTTCCACTAAAACTTAGCCACAAAACATATCTCTAATCAACCAGCAAGTTATTTTCGAACTTACAGTCCTCAGTGTTATTAAATCTGTCAAAATGCCCAAGTAAAGTTCCAATAATTCCACATATGACACAATACAATCAGAGAAAAACAATATATATTTTCTTATGAAGTCACCTAATCCGAAAATGTTAAAAGGAATCATCAGGAAAATTGAAATGCATCAACAATCACAAGTTCATAACCAATCACAGATTCACATATCCAAAAATTGAAATACTTAAATGATTGTTGACATATATTTACTGGAGTAGATTTCGAACAATGGTCACTTGCTAGTGTGAATGTGTGATTACCTTAATCTTCATAACGATGACTCTGCCCAGCCCTACAAAATAAACCCCGTCCAAACTAGGTACTTTGTTCTGCAATCTGCATCGAGAGACTTTGCTTAGATGCCGGAGGAAGATTCACTCTCTAATCTGCATTAGAAACACATGGATGCCTCTACTCTCTGTTCCTAGTCCGAAGACAACTGGATCAATTGATTGGTGCCTGACGACACAGAAACGAGGAATCCGATTAAGCCATGGAAGCCGTCGTTCGCTCCCCAGGCCTTCCGTCGTCAGCTCTAGAGCCTGATTAAGCCCCCGAGAAGTGTCACGCTGGTGTGGAATTGAAGGCCAAAGGGAGAAACTGAGAGAATCGGAGGAAGCCAAGCCAACTAGAATCGGGGGAAGGAAGAGGATGAAGGGAGATAATAAAACGACGAAGAAACGAGAGATCCAGTGTAATAGGAGATGGAGACTTTTCTGAAATAATGAAGTTAAAACTGAAAAGATAAAAATCGACAGATGAAAGAAAAAAAGTCGGGTGACAAAAATGAAATGTAAGGGTTAAAAGTGGTTCAAACGGGTAATTTCCACTAAAAAAAATACGGAGGGAGTATATTGTATAAGGGTCAGATAGGGTCTCGAACTTACAAAAAAATATCAAATAAGGCTTATATAAGATGCTCTGTCCGGCCGACGCCATTTGGGGCGGTTCCTGATGGAATTTTTTGATGAAATTTTTTGAGCATCTTACTCATTAAGTCTAGTTTAGTCATACCAAATTTGAACTAAAAATTCAATCGGGAAGGCATTCAAATAAATTCTTGAAGATAAATGCGCTTTTAACTGCGCAGTTATTTTCAAGAATTTATTTGAATACCTTACTGATTGAATTTTTAGTTCAAATTTGATATGAGTAAACTAGACTTAATGAATAAAATGCTCAAAAAAATCATCGAAAAATTTCACCGGGAACCACCCCAAATGACGTCGGTCGTATAGAGCATCCTATATATGACCTTATTTGACATTTTTTTGTAAGTTTGAGGCCTTATCTGACCCTTATCCCATAATCTCTACATATATATATATATACAATCTTATAAGAGGGAATCTTGTTGAGGGTTAAATTGTCCTGAAAAATATGTTGGTGTCTCTAGATGCATAAGCTAATTGTACTTTCTATTCACTGTGTTGTACAACTTAACCTGTTCGCACTCTCATCGTTATGTCCTTACGGAACGGAGGCAAACACCCAGCTTTAAAAAATATCGCACGATGACTTTTGTTTCCGCCCTGTAGTTTATTTCATTCAAATCCCCAGCCCCTTCGACTCATCACCTTCCTTCCGTTTCAACCGCTCAGCAATAATGGCTCTTCCGCAGTAATGGCTTTTGGGCAATTTGGTTTTTCAAGCGTCCTCCGTTTGGTTGCTTATAAATACTATTGCGCAGCTCTTCGGTCTATTTTCCGGTTTTGCCTTGTTCTACTCTGGTGAGTTTTTCCTCTATTCTTTTGATTTGCCTTGTGTAATTGCTTTACCTACGCATTTTTGTGATTAGCCATATGTTCTCCGCATCTATGTTTCATTAGTTAACTACCCATGGAGATTTTTTGGGAGTCGGTGTTCCTGTTAATATATAGCCAACGATTCGTAGCCCTTAGAAAAACTAAGGGCATATATCTGATAATTTGTATTCGAGTAAAATGGAATTCTAAATCATTGTTCGCTGCTTCTGGAATCCAACTCCAAATTTAGCCTGAGGGTACTTCACGAATGCAAGTCACAGAGTCTAACATACCTTTTTGTTAGGTAAAGACGAATAGGCAGTATATTTAAAAACACTTGCATCCCGGTCACATTACATGAATCACGAGTAGCTTTTTAAACCCAAATTTGCATTTTTAAACCCAAAGTTGCATTTAAAAACACTTACGTCCCAGACACATTACCCACAGTATCACTTTTAAACTCATAGTTGCATTTTTTTGTTGCACAAGTAGCTATAAATATACAATGCTACATTATATGTTGTACCAAAAGGTTTGCTTCTTCATTAGCAACTCAGTGTATTTCTGTCACTGATGTTAAAAACAGTTCATCATAGGGATAGAGGCTTCACATGGTGGTTCTGAAAATATTTTTATCCCAGTCTAACACTTCCCTATCACCATACGCTTCCCTCTGTTTGTATCATTTTTCAGTTTTTCCCTTTTGGAGAGTAATTTAACCTTGTATGTGCTGTTTAAAACCTTGTTTAGGCTGGAGAGATTGTTGGCAGTTTGAGCTGAGCGAGTTTCATCTGGGGGTAAGCTGATTTTCCACATTTCATTTTACATATGCATATCTTGTATGCTGTTTTGGTTAGACTTTCGAACATTGTTTCCTTAGAAAAAATCAAAACCCATATCAACGGTTTATCTACTCTGCTTAATCATATGGGCAGCGAATGTTTTTTAAACTTTGCCGGTATACATAGGTCTGTTTCAGTTAATAAATATTGAATAAAATGAGACTTAAACATTGACAATTAGCAAGCTTAAATAAATTGTTTTGGTTGTAATTCTACTTTTTTACACAAATAACTAATACTATAATCACTATATTCCTGTGAGAATTATAGAAAGGAAAAATGGTACTCATGAAACACCTTAGGGCATTCAAATTCACAAGAAGTCATGCACAAGTCGACAAAGAGATGTGTTTTTTAAAACTTAAACATGCTCCACATGCTTTCTAAGTCTTTAACTCTTGATCTAAATGCTTGTTAATAAAAATAAAAACAAAAATATGAGCCTATGTTAGTACCCTCTTTTCAAATGTAATTCAGCCTTTCTTTGTATTTGATACCTGTTTTAACTTTACCAAAGTTAGCAGCACCCCCATGGCTAATTCTTTCTTAAACTAAGGTTAAATTTTTGATGAGGTAAGTTAGGTAAGCAGTGTGAAATATTATGACTAATCTGCAGCGTTCTTGCTAATTAATAAGCAATATGAAATATTATGACTAATGTTATTTTATCGTTTTATCTCATCTCTTATGTTTTCAGCTAGATTATTTTAGTTTTATATATTTTGTCAGATAGCTTATATCTAATTTATTTTTATCCCGTAATAAATTATTAGAAAATTGGGGTATTCATATCCAAAACTCAGAAAATGTCGTCTTCTACATAAGTGGAGATCCATAAGGATGATTAATTGGAACTGCAGGTTACTAAGGATAGATTACAATTATTATGATCTTATATGAAAGCTAGAGAACACAATTGAATTCCACTAAAGGCATACGTGGAAACAAGTAAAAAGTCACAATTATTCGTAGTCTGTAGACAAAATACGATTTTAGACTAATACTGACATTTTTTTATCATGTACCCAACTTTAAATCATAAATACAATAAACTCTTGAACATCTAATCACCAAATCAGTTAGTACTTAATGTTGATTCTAACATACTTTCTTATAGTAACTATAAATATAAATTTTTATTTTCAAGTATTATTTTCGTGGAGGTGTTAAGTGTGTGTATATATATATACACACGTAATATTGTGACCTATTAGTCTTTAGCTTCGTGTGTTTTTATGTGTAGTTAATAAGCCCCATTTTTTAAAGTAAGAAAATGTATGAGACATAGCATTTCAAACACTTAAGCTCTATTGGAATTGTATGAATGGTCTGGTAGATGATTAAAGAAGATGGGTATCATATGCAGATCCTCAAAGGAATATTTGGTTATTAAAATTGTATTAGAGTAGATATTTTGAAGTATCTACTACAAGAATAAATATATTTGCTCCAAGAGTCCAATCTATACTCACTGTATCAACCAATAATTATAAGTATAAGAGCAAATTACCTGGTCATTCCCATCCGGCCATCCCCTCACCTAGCCAGTGAGCTGCCACACCCCTGGTCAAATCACTGCACTGCCTTCATCTCCACATGCCACCTAACAACCTTCTTCCACGACCAATTATTATCACACGTCGGACAATCGACCCCCTTGATGTCGAACCACTCCCTCGTGCAACATATGCTTGGTGATTACATCAAGGTGAGACTTGGATACCTTTCGAAAGAAACGACGTTCTCGTGCCAACATGACAAGGAAAACTAAACATAATTAATGAACTTGGAGGCTATTGAAAAATTAGCTTTAGTCCTCCGTGTACTTCAAGTATACGTCAAAGCACAAATGTGCCGAGGCGGTTTAGCTTAGTTGTACACCATGTCTACTCTTTGCATAGGTTTAAATGATTGTTCCTAAAATTGTGGCCTACTGAGTTCCTTGTTCCTAAGAATAGCCCTGAAGTTCCTGAATGCATTGAGTCTTTGTTAGAATACTCCTATCTCTCAAAATAAAGGGACTATTATTATTATTATTATTATTATTATTATTATTATTATTATTATTATTATTATTATTATTATTATTATTATTATTATTATTATTATTATTATTATTATTATTATTATTATTATTATTATTATTATTATTATTATTATTATTATTATTATTATTATTATTATCCATTCACCCTTCACCACCGTCTTCACAAGTCCTTCTGATCAATAGCTAGTTTATTTATGTACGCTGCCATTACTTTGAGGATGTTGTGAATAATTGTATCAAATAGTTTAGCTTGAGTACAAAGATGTAGTTTAGGGAAGAATTTTCTTGATTTAGATTGTCTGTCCTGTGAATATCCCTTTAACTACGTGTGTATGCTAACTATTTTAAATTCCGTGTGGTGATTATCGTAAGTCCCGTTGTTCAATTTGCTTGAGGACAAGCAAAAGCTTAAGTGCGGGGGAGTCTGATAAGTCCGTATTTAGACACGCATTTGATGCGTGTTCGGGTCGGATTTTGATGGTTTCCCTGGCTTTAAGGCGTTGCAAGTCTCAATTTTGGCTCAAGTTGTGTTTAGCTGGCGTTGGATCGAGTTTCATTGCATTTGGAGTTGATTTGAAGAAGTTCGAGTCCGGCAATCGGCGCTTAATAGGCATTCAGGAAGGATTTGAAGGCGTTCGACAAAGATTTGAGAGATTTGGAGGTCACCGGGAGATTCACGACGAAATTCTGGTAAAGAAAGAGCATTTGGTTCGACCTCATAGGCATTCGGAAGCATTCAGAGCAAGAAACGAAGAAAAAGGATGAAGAAAAGGTGAGGCACGACCGTGCCTAGGGGAGGCACGATCGTGCCTGCATTTAGGATCAGGCGCGGAGCTACTGGCAGCCAGACACGATCGTGTCCGGGGTAGGCACGATCGTGTCTGCAACTCTTACGCGCGATATACTCTGTAGGCACGATCCCAGGCACGATCGTGCCTGGCATCGTGTCTGGCCCCGATTTGTCCTATTTCAGCTCAAATTCTCCTGTTTTCTATAAATAAGGCCTCCATACCCATTTTTGGGGTTACGAACTTTGTGGAGAGGCCTAGGGACGAGTTTTACCTGCGTTTTTACGTTGTTTAATCCAAGAACCTGAGATTCTTTGTAAGATCAATTCTTTAATTAATGACATTTTATTCTATTCATCCCAATTCTTTTGATTCGTCAATTATGAGGCGTGAGTAGTTTAATTAGGGATTTGGGGTTTATGAAGGGGTTAATCATGATTGTTGGCTAGATTCTTGTCGGTTCAATTGCATGAATGCCGTTTAATTTGTGTTTGAATAATTTAACTGATATCTCTTGTAACCT